GCTGAACCTTTCTGTTATGACAAAAGGGGGTTTATGATTTCAATAAGGAAACCTTCCCAAGGTGTTCAGGAACCCAGACCTGACTGGCCCTTCTCTTCCCTTCCCCAGGCTCCCAGCACCTCTGCCCACCATGAGTTCCTCGCCACTGCTGGGTGACGGCGAGCTGCCGGCCGCGTTGCTGGGTGACATTAAGACTGAGCCCCCCGAGGAGCTGCTGGCCGAGCCGGTGGATCTGTCGGTCCACAAAACCAAGGTGCCACCAGTGCCCCAGATCCCTCTCTCCTGCTTCCGGACCGGTGCACCGCCCGTGTCACCGGCGCCACTGGGCTCCGCGTCCTCGGCCATCCCAGCTGTCCTGTCTCCGGGCTCCATCCTGGCCTCAAGCCAGGGCAGCGGCGGGCAGCAGATCCTGCACGTGATCCACACGATCCCCTCGTTCCAGCTGCCCGGCAAGATGGGCAAACTCCAGACCATCCCGCTGGTGGTCCAGTCGCTGCCGGTCGTCTATGCTGCCGTGCCGGCCGACGGGGTGGCGGCAGCCGCCGTGACGGTGCCCCTTATCGGGGGCGACGGGAAGGACGCCGGGTCCGGTGAGGGCGCTGCAGGGTGGTCATAGATCATGACAATATTAAGAGCATGCCAGCAAGGCTGAACCTTTCTATAAAATAAGGATTTTATCAGCTTCCTCCGATTCTACATATTGAGAGGATGCCATCAACGCTGAACCTTTCAGTAAACGAAGGATTTCATTGTTCCAAAAAGGAAAGCTGCTTCCGATTGTCCATATTAAGAAGATGCTGAACCTTTCTGTAAAAAAAGGATTTCATTATTCCCCAAAGGGGAAGTAAACAAAGGCAGGGAGAAATGACCATGTCAGATCACTAAACTCCAGGAAACTACAAATATCCCCCGGAAAGTTTTGTCCTTTTTCTGAATGCGCCTTTGTTTTTTCCTGCAGTGAAAGTGGACCCCGGTTCCATTTGCCCAATTGGCATTGGCAGCGAGAGCGACGACAGCGCTTCGGAGAGCCGCCCGGCCTCCTTCCCCGAGCTCCAGAGAGAGTGAGTTTCCTGCCAGAGGATGCCAGCAAGGATGAACCTTTCTGTAAAGAAAGGATTTAAATTGATTTAATTTATACTATTATTATTATTATTATTATTATTATTATTAGGGTTAGCAATAAGGGTTAGGGATAGGGATAGGGATTAGGGATAGAGTTGTTGTAAGTTGAATCTTACTGTCAGGTTCTGCTGTTTCTCGTCCTTGATTTTGACTGTTTTTTTCATTGTTATTTTATATTTAACAATGAATGGCCAGATGGGAGGGGTATGGATCTAATAATAATAATAATAATAATAATAATAATAATAGGACATTGAGTCTTACTATCAGGTTCTGGAGTTTGTCATGTGTCTGTTTTTTACTGTTTTTTTAATTGTTATTTTATTTCTAACAATGAGTGGCCAGTTGGGCAGGGTAGAAATAATAAACTACTACTAGTAGTAGTAGTTAGTTTGTTACCCCCCTCCTCTCTGCCGATCTCTTGCCAGGCCTTCCTCCGTGAGCCAGATGCAGCAGACTGACTCCCCGGACCTCAAGAAGAGGCGCATTCACCAGTGCGACTTTGAGGGTTGTAGCAAAGTTTACACAAAGAGCTCACACTTAAAAGCGCACAGAAGGATACACACAGGTAGGGTCAACCTTCCTGGCATCCTCTTAATATTGACAATCAGAGGAAGACTTTTTTTTATCATAATAAATTCCTTGCTGGCATCCTCCTAATACTGACAATGGGAGGAAGGGTTTCTTTTTGGAATAATAAAATCCCTTTGTTAAAAGGAAGGGACAGCCTTGCTGGCATCCTATTTATTTCATGTTACCCTCTGTCAATAACCCTCTGTTGCCCCCTGCAGGAGAGAAGCCATATAAGTGTACCTGGGAGGGCTGTACCTGGAAATTTGCCCGTTCTGATGAATTGACCCGGCATTTCCGGAAACACACAGGCATCAAGCCCTTCCACTGCTCGGACTGCGACCGGAGCTTCTCGCGCTCGGACCACCTGGCTCTCCATCGCCGGAGACACATCATGATGTGAAATTGGAGGGCCGGCGGTCACCCTCGGATCCCCCCCCAAATATCCAGGGGTCAAAGGAGAAACTTTGGCAGAGCGAAGAACCATGACAGCGAGTTTGATACCCAAGCCAAGATGGGTGGAGTCTCTCGGACCTTTACCGAAAGGTTCAGCCTTGCTGACATTCTCTGAATAGGGACAATCGGAGGAAGGTTTCCTTTTGGGGATAAGAGGAATAACCTCAATCCACAGGTGCCATTCCCCTTTGGTAGAAGGGGTCGAGCCAGACTTGAACCTGGAACCTGGTTCGACCGATGGGGGTAGTTTCCCCTTTGGTGGATGGGGGGGGGTCTGGGGGCAACAGAGGAGGGTCTTCCTTGTACGGATCAATATATGAGATTTTGGGTGGGATATGGACATGAACATCTCCCCGGGTTCCAAGTGCGAGTGGCGCATTCCCATAGAAAGGGATTGATTGAGAGCTGTTTGTGGATTTTCCTCTCGAGCGAGAGCATTGATCGCCGAAACAAAAGCAATCGTCAATGGACCGTTCAATGAAGTAAATAAGACAGGACATGGTTACTTTGAGTCTCAAACTTCAGTCCAAAGCGTTCCAAGTGCGAGTCATGCTTTCCCATAGAAAGGAATGCAAAACGGATTAAGACAGCAATTTAACATGAATTTTGCTCTCTAACAGGACCATTGATCCCCAAAACGAAACCAATAATCAATGGACTGTACTATGAAATAAATAGGATCTTGTAGATGATAGAAACTAAAATTATTTTTTTCCCTCACCTGCACCGACCTGATTGATCCATTCCGGACTTTTAAAAACAGCCATTTGAATGTGAATTTTGCTCTTTATTGAGAATTTGATCCTCGAAATGAAACCAATAATCAATAGACTGTATGATAAAATAAATAAGATCTTGTAGATGATAAAAATTGGAATTTATTTTTTCCTGACCTGCACTAGTGATAGTCATTGTTTGGATGGGGGCGGGTTTGATCCGTTTCTGCAATCACACAATCAATCAATCATTCATTCATTCATTCATTTATTTATTTACGGCTATTAGCCCATAAAATATGTACAAACATAAAAAAGCACAAAGGCTTAAAAACCGAAATATCTGACAACAGAAGGTGAACACTGCGATGCAAGGGTGGGTCATTGGGCAGAGCCAAATAACAGGATGGGGCCCGGAGAGCTCCAAGGGACGGTTCACAGAAAAAGGAAAACTGAAGACGAGATCCGACATGCACTCATCATAACTGTCCGATTGGATTTTGATGTTGTTTTTTGGTGGTTTTTGCGTGTGAGATAACCGCATTCAGGAATCTCGCCACCTGCAGAGTAACAGAAGGATCTGTATCCTGCAAAAGCAGTGCAGCGTGTGACTCAACAGGCCTGCCAACCAAGCGCAGTAAAGCAGGGCCCAGGAATTTAGTCCTGGCTATGCTATGTAGGGGACAGTTGAACATTATATGTGGAAGAGATTCAACAGTTTTCCCGTCACACACGCATAGCGGAGACACCAAACCCTTGGAAAATCTGTGGCTCAGCAGGTTCGATGGAAGGACATTGAACCTTGCACGAATAAATGCAAGTCGGTGTGGTACTGATGAAAGAGATGACATGTATGATGGAAGGTCAAGTGGTGGGGTTATTCCGTGATACCTGGGGGAGCAGACACCCCCACCTCTGGCAAGGTTGTGTTGATTTTCAATGTCTGCTAATCTTTGCTCAATGAGGCTTTTAGCTGAGCGTAAGTTCATCTTTAGGGAGTCCGCTGGGGAAATTCCGATGCTCAGAAGTTTGGCATGGATTTTTCCTACCCACGGATTAACAAATTCGTCCCGCCAGAGGCACTGAAAAAGGTAATGGTCGGGAAGCCTATGCCAGCTGGACAGCCAATAGCCAAAGACTCTCTTCCAGATGACAGTCTCCAATGTTGCAATCCTTAACTCCAGACGTATGGCTGCGTTGCTCACACACATGGGGAGTTTCAGGAGGCGACGGAGAAACTGATTCTGCAATGTCTCCAGCGATGTTAAATTGGACCCAGGGGCCCAGAGCGGGGCAGCATAGCAGAGGGTGGAAACCACTTTTGCGTGGTATACCTTCAATGCAGAGGGGATGTGGGAGGCTCCGTCAGCCGCAAAAAATTGGAGTAGAGCATAAAGTATTGTTTTCCCTTTGTTTAGTAAATACTGTATCTGTGGCTTCCAGCTTAGGTTGAAAAAAGACTCCCAGGTATTTAAATTTGAAAACCTGTTCTAATTGGACTCCATCTAACTTCCAGCTGTAAGTTTTCCGAGACCTGGTAAAGACCAGGACTTTAGATTTCCCATGATTAATTGTCAGATGGTTGAGTTTGCAATAAGCCGCAAAAATCTTTAGAGCTCTGCATAAACCGACTCTAGAGTAGGAAAGGATCGCTGCATCATCGGCGTATAGGAGCAAAGGGCAGCGAAAATCGGCTAGGCGGGGGGCATGAATGTTGGCTTGAGACTCATTCAGAAAGAGCTTCATATCACTAATAAACAGGTTGAAGAGGAGTGGGGCCAAAATGCAGCCTTGGCGCACACCTCTATTTATTGGGACCTCGTTGGATAGGTTTCCCGCAGGTGTGAGTCTCACTCTAGCCGACGACCCGTGGTGTAATTGGGTTATAAGCCATAACAGTCTTCTATCTATGCCCCATCTCTCTAGTTTCTTCCATAGACAGTTTCTTGGGATACTGTCGAATCAATCAATAGCTGAACTGGGATCCACACAGTCACAAAAACCAATGAGCCACAGGTTGGATTCAGTACCAACAAAATGAAGTGTTCAAAGCAGATAAAAAAACAAAACAGGTTTTCCAAGTGAAATTTCAATATTAGATAAAGAATTATTGCAAGAATTATTGCAAGACAAAGGTGATTTCTAAAATATATGGAATTTTATTGCAATGGGATGTAAAAGAGGTAATGATCCAATAGGCTATGGATATTGGTAGTAAACTGATACGATTATCATCATGGGGGAAATTATGGATGGAGAGCTGGAGATTTGCAGCTTGCGAGGCGATAAAGGAAAATGGGATAAAGATGTTTAACAGATGGCATTTAACACAAAATCTAACACAATGACAGATGGTATTTAAGCAAAACATTCAAAATGTATAAAACAAAATCAAAAATGGGTCGGAGGGGAAACCAAGTAGGTGGGGCACTCTTAGAGGGCGTTTGAGCACCAAAGAAGGTTTCCTTTTGAGGATAATAAAATCCCCCTTTTTACAGAAAGGTTCAGAGTTGCTGGCATCCTCTTAATATGGACAAGCGGAGGAAGGTTTCTTTTTTGGAATAATAAAATCCCATTTTTTACAAAAAGGTTCAGCCTTGCTGACATCCTCCTAATATGCACAATGCGGCTGTTTGGCTGTGGGCCTCCATCTTTAGTTCTGGTGCCTTTTCATGTGCAGCGCCAAGTGGTCCGATCGGGAAAAACATCGCCCACAGGCGAGGCACCCAAAGGGTTTGGCACCCGTATGTTTCCGGTAGTGGCGTGTTAGCTCGTCAGATCGGGCGAAGCACCACTCACACCCGTCCCAAGCACACCGATATGGCTTCTCGCCTGGAAAGGGGGCAGAAGAAAGAAGGAAAAGGGGTGGCGTTAGAAACATCTGCCCAGCCTTTCTCCTCCCAGGGCTCATTTTCGTAGCAGATGCCCAGGGGTTGGGTCTGCGTGTTTGAATGGCACCCAGAAATCAGAACCAGCGAAGGTGCTGGGTATGCCTGGAGGTGGTTGGAGGATGGATGGCGATTGAAATCCCTAGTCCATAAGACTTGACTGAAATCCTTTTTTTTACTGAGAGGTTCATCCTTGTTGGTATCTTCTTAATGTGGACAAGCAGAGGGAGGTTTAATTTTTGGAATAATAAAATCCTTTTTTTACAGAAAGGTTCAGCCACTTAATACGGACAAGTGGAGGAAGGTTTCTTTTTTGGAATAATAAATTTTCAGAGTAGTTTTTACAGTGTTACTGTAAGGAAAAGGACTTAATTCAAGTCTTACTGACTAGGGGTTTAAATTGTGATTTAAATCGAAATTTAAATCAATTTGATTTAAATCAAATCTACCCAGGAAATAACTGTAAAAAACTACTCTGAAAATTTATTATTCCAAAAATGAAACCTCCCTCCGTTTGTCAATATTAAGAGGATTCCAACAAGGTTGAACTAAAAAAAGGTAATTTAATCATTCCAAAACGAAAACCTTTCTCCAGTTGTCCATATTAGGATACCAGCAAGGCTGAACCTTTCTATAAAAAAAGGATTTAAATTGATTCTTACTGACCAGGGATTTAAATTGTGATTTAAATCGACTGCATTTAAATCAAATCCACCAGGGGGCGGGGGACATTTCTAATTCCACCCCAATCATCTCCCTTACAAGCTGCCCTCAGGTTTAGCCGCAGCCAACCACATACCTGTGTGAGTCCTCTGATGTGCTTTCAGGTGAGAACTTTTGGTGTAAACCTTTGTGCAACCTGTGAAGAGATCGGGATGAATTGGTGGGGTGAAATAATAGTAGTAGTAGTAGTAGTAGTAGAGGGCCTTCTTCACTGCCTCTATTGCATCTGCAGAAAACAGCAGCAGGAGACACTTTCACGTGGTTCGCAATCTTATTGGAACCACCTGCACCACCGGGGCCTGGTAGGGACCCCAAGATCTCCTGCAATGCTTTTGCAAAGTTTTTTTTGCAGATAAAGTCGCTCAGATTCAGAAGGAGGAGTCTCCATCGTGGGAGCAGGGCCAGGGCGGGAGAGTGCTAGAGTCCTGTCTAGTCAAGTTGCGTGGGATCAATTCCAATCTGCTACTTCCAAGGATGTGACCAGGCTGCTTGGACGAGTGAAACCGACCACCTGTCTCCTTGATCCTTGCCCATCCTGGCTTATAAAAGCTAGCCGGGAAGGGCTGGGCAATGGGCTTTGCCGGGTGGTGAAAGCTTCTCTCTGTGAGGGAGCCTTCCCAGACCCGCTGAAAGAGGCGGTCATCAAACCGCTTCTTAAAAAAACATCTTTAGACCCGGCCAATATGGCCAAATATCGCCCAGTCTCAAATCTTCCATTCTTGGGCAGGGTGATTGAGCGGGTGGTTGCTGAACAACTCCAAGCAGCCTGGAGGATGTGGACCATTTGGATCCCTTCCAGTCGGGATTCAGGCCTCATCATGGGACTGAAACTGCGTTGGTCACGCTGGTCGAAGATCTCGAGCGGGCTAGGACAAAGGTGAGAGCTGTTTCCTACTTCTGCTGGATCTCTAAGTGGTGTTTGATACCATCGACCATAACATTCTTCTGGACCATCTAGAGGGGCTGGGAGCTGGGGGCACTGTTATACAGTGGTTACGCTCCTTCCTCCTGGGCAGTGTTCAGAAAGTGGTGGTGGGGGATGAGTGCTCAGACCCCTGGGCCCTCACTTGTGGGGTGCCTCAGGGTTCTGTCCTCTCCCCCATGCTTTTTAACATCTATATGAAACCACTGGGAGAGATCATCAGGGGGTTTGGGCTGGGTGTTCATCAGTATGCAGATGACACCCAGCTCTACCTCTCTTTTAAATCAGAACCAGTGAAGGCGGTGAAGGTCCTGTGTGAGTGCCTGGAGGCGGTTGGAGGATGGATGGTGGCTAACAGATTGAGGTTGAATCCTGACAAGACAGAAGTACTGTTTTGGGGGGACAGGAGACGGGTGAGTGTGGGGGTCTCCCTGGTCCTGAATGGGGTAACTGTGCCCCTGAAGGACCAGGTGCGTAGCCTGGGAGTCATTTTGGACTCACAGGAGACGGTCAATTCTGTGTCCAGGGTGGCTGTCTACCAGCTCCACCTGGTACGCAGGCTGAGACCCTATCTGCCTCCAGACTGTCTCACCAGAGTGGTGCATGCTCTGGTTATCTCCCGCTTGGACTACTGCAATGCGCTCTATGTGGAGCTACCTTTGAAGGTGATCTGGAAACTGCAATTAATCCAGAATGCGGCAGCTAGACTGGGGACTTGGAGCGGCCACCAGGACCACATAACACTGGTCTTGAGAGATCTGCATTGGCTCCCAGTACGTTTCTGAGCACAATTCAAAGTGTTGGTGCTGACCTTTCAAGCCCTAAATGGCCTCGGCCCAGTATACCTGAAGGAGCGTCTCCACCCCCATCGTTCAGCCTGGACACGGAGGTCCAGCTCCGAGGGCCTTCTGGCGGTTCCCTCATTGCAAGAAATGAGGTTACAGGGAACCAGACAGAGGGCCTTCTCGGTAGTGGCGCCCGCCCTGTGGAACACCCTCCCTTCAGATGTGAAGGAAATAAGCAGCTATCCTATCTTTAGAAGACATCTGAAGGCAGCCCTGTTTAGGGAAGTTTTTAATATAATGCTGTATTGTTTTTAACACTTGATTGGGGGCCACCCAGAGTGGCTGGGCAAACTCAGCCAGATGGGCGGGGTATAAATAATAAATTATTATTGTTGTAGTAGTAGTAGTAGTAATAGCAGTGGCAGTAATAATGATAATAGTAGTAATAATAATAACAATAACAATAATCCGTATCAGCCTGAATATAAGCCTCACTTTTTTCCCAAATTCCGTCCGCGAAAAGTGAAAGTGCAGCTTATATTCAGGCCACTTGTCAATTTTAAGAGGATGCCAGCAAGGTTGGACCTTTCTGTAAAAAAAGGAATTTATTATCCCAAAAAGGAAACCTTCCTCTCCTTGTCAATATTCAGAGGATGCCAGCAAGGCTGTACCTTTGTCTAAAAAGGGATTTTATTATCCCAAAAAGGAAACCTTCTCCTTGTTAATATTCAGGGGATGCCAGCAAGGCTGAACCTTTCAGTAAAAAAGGATTGGTCCTACCGGAGTAGTCACAATGATGGACCCTTCTCTTCTCCAGCTCCGGGTTGTTCCTCTGGCTGTACTTGGGGATCGGCACGGCGAGGGTCTGCAATCCACCATGCAGCGTTGGCATTTGGCCCTGGAGGGGTCCTTTCACCGACGAGGCAGCCTGGTCCTGCCTTTGAGAGATGCCCTCGGCAAACTCCGGGCTGCCAGGCTGCGAGTTTGGTGGTGACGGCGGCAGGCCGGTGCCCAGGGACAGGCACCCCAAGATCCAACCCGGGTTGGAGAAGACGTGGAAGGCGCTGCCAAAGTCGGGGAGGGTCTGCCATGCCCCGGCTGGGCCTGGCCTGGCCAAGAAGGTGCCGGGTTCCGATTTGACCCGGGCGAAGGGGGCGAGGGGCTTGGGGGGCCGGTAGAGGCCCGTGCGAAGGTGGGCAGAAGGTGGCTTCTCTGTGGAGAAGTATTCGTCGACCACGGAGGCGCTTTCCCGGCGGTACTTCTGCCCGACGTCCAGGGGGTGGCGGGCAAATGTCCTGAGAGGTACTGGTCCATTTCGAAGGGGGCCTGGAGGAGAAAGGGCAGTTAGTGGAATAATAAAATCCCCCTTTTTACAGAAAGGTTCAACCTTGTTGGCACCTTCTTATATGGACAAGCAGAGGAATGTTTCCTAATTGGAATAATGAAATCATTTTTTACAGAAAGGCTCAACCTTGCTGCCATCCTCAATATTGGCAACCATAGGAAGGTTTCCTTTTTGGAATCATAAATTTTCAGAGTCGTTTTTACACTTCTGTCAAAAATTACTGATTTGGTTCCACTCTTAGAAATACATAGAGCGAAGATTATGAAATGACGGTGAGGTTTAATAAGTTAACTGCCGATATCTGGACAACTTTTCTGCCATACTTGATTGGAAGGAGAAAAATAACCATTTCTTTAATAACCATTTATTTAAGTAAAAGAATAATATAGTACCATATGCATCCATGTTTGTTAACTGATGTGGTTAAACAACTTTTAAAAAATGAAGTGTAGAAATGACTCTGAAAATTTATGATTCCACAAAGGAAATCTTCCTCTGCTTGTCCATATAAGAGGATGCCAGCAAGGTTGAACCTTTCTGTAGAAAAAGAATTTTATTATTCCAAAAAGGAAACCTTCCTCTGATTCTCCATATTAAGTGGATGCCACAGCAAGGTTGAAAAAGGATTTTATATCGTCTCCCGGACTAGGGATTTAAATCGATTCAATTCAAATCAAATCCACCCTGCTTTTGCCCTCTTATCCTCAGAGTGTTCTCGAAGGAAAAAGAACAAGCATCTTGAACCCGGGGTCAAGACCAAGATTGAACGATCTGAGGAGCAAATATTGACCTTGGTCAATAATTTACTAGGGAGACAATAAAAAATGACATTGAGCCAAGTAAGTATGTACCGTATTGTCCCAAATATAAGCCTCATATTTTCCCCAAAATCCCAACCGTGAAACGCTAAAGGGTGCCTTATATTCAGGCCAATACGTACCGTATTCAGGCCAATATGCGCCAATTAGGCAGGGGGTGTTTACTGAATTATTGTTTTTATTTCAATTTTACGTATTTGATATTTTACGTGAATGGCCCCGAGACCTTTGGGTGTAGGGTGGTATAAAAATTAAGTAAGTAAGTAAGTAAATATATAAATGAAAAAATGAAAAATAAATAAAAAACCCAGAATATGGGGTTTTCCTGCAGCTCACTTACCTGGGCCAGAGCCTGTTGACTTTCCGAGATCTGTACCGTCGGTTGGATGTCTTCGAAGACATCTGTGTCTTCCATGTTGGCGGGTTTCGAAACTGGGCAGCAGCTCATCCTACCCACCCTGTCTTCTTCTACTTGGCAGAGTTGCGGAAAAAACTCAAATCCGAGAAAAAAAATGAGATTTTTGGGACAATTTGGCCCCTCGGAAAGCTGACTCGCCCGTTGATAATTTGGAGCAAGAATCCCAAATCTGTTGCATGAAAAATTCTCAATTTGCAGAGTTGTGAAACTCAAATCAAAGAAGAAAAGCAAGTTTTTTTGGACAATGCAAAAATAAGGCCCTCTTCCTAATCTTGAGGAATCCAGTTGCTCTGCAGTCTCAAGAATCCCAAATCTTGTTGCACGAAAAATTCCCACATTGCAGCTGCAAAAAAACTCAAATCTGAGAAGAAAAACCAGGTTTTTTTAACGATGCAGAGAATCAGGCACCCGGAAGCATCTAATCTGCAGCTTTAAGAATATCCCAATCTGCGGCAAGAAAAATTTACCTGTCTGAAAGTGGGCAGTTCTTTCCCTCTGTCAGCCAATCAGGAGGGATCTCACTCAACTCCGGCCAATGAGAGGGCCAGAAACCCTCTTCTTTAAAGGAACACAAGATAGAAGGATTTTTTATTTTTTGTTGGAGAAATAGAAAGAAAGAAGGGCAGGTTTGGTGCAGTCTTTCCAGGTTGAATGTCCTCGATTCTCGGTGGTTCCCAGGCTATTTGGACCATTCCACTACTGAAATATAATAATAATAATAATAATAATAATAATAATAATAATAATAATAATAATATTCAAGTATATTATCTATAGCCCGACCATCAGGCTGGGCTTCCCCAGCCACTCTGGGCAGCTCCTGACAGATGAAAAACAGAATAAAAACCCTGTAAGATTTAAATCCCTTTTTTACAGAAAGGTTCAACCGTGCTGACATCCTCTTAATACGGACAAGCAGAGGAAAGTTTCCTTTTCCTTTTTTTACAGAAAGGTTCAACCTTACTGGCATACTCTTAATATGGACAAGTGGAGGAAGATTTCCTTTTTGGAATCATAAAAGCCTCTTTTTTGCAGAGAGGTTCAACCTTGCTGGCATCCTCCGAAAATGGACTGTATTTCGAGATGAGTTGGGAAATGAGAGTACTCCTAAACATTAAAAAATAAAATAAAATAAAAAGCACTGGTTCTATGAAAATACGTTTGTGTGTAACGGTTTTTTTCTTCCTGAAACATTGAGAGTATCTAAAAAAACTGACGTCATCTTGCTCAGTGGCTGCCACAGCATGGAAACAATTAATACAGTGTACGTGTTTTGTGCTGGATTGCGCCTATTTTTCCACCCACCACTGGCCTCCTTGGTGAGGTGTGTTTGCTGAGCCGGGTTTTCCTGGCAACCGTTCCTGGAAAGCAATGAAGCTGCAAAATACAGCCTTTAACAGTACAACAACAACAGCATTTCCCTTGGCAGACTGTCTTGGCCACAACCAACATGCTGGGACAATGCGCTGTGGGGCGGGAGCATGGAGGGAATCACAATGGACCGGAAAATCAAATTAATCCGAAATGCATTCCTGCGAACACACCCAGGGATGCTCTGCATGCCAGAGACGATAACCTTCATACTTCCAACAAACATCGACCGCATCAGCCCTGGTTCCCAAGCACCCTGGTTCCCAAACACCTTGGTTCCCAAACACCCTGGTTTCTAAACGTCTTGGTTCCCAAACACCCTGGTTCCCAAATGCCTTGGTACCCAAACGCCTTGGTAGCAAACGCCCTGGTTTCCAAATGTCTTGGTACCCAAACACCCTGGTTCCCAAGCGCCTTGGTACCCAAACACCCTGGTTCCCAAATGCCCAAAACCCAGAAGTAAGTGTTCTGGTTTCTGGACGTTTTTTGGAAGCTGAAAGTCCGACGCAGCTGTTGGTGGTCCTTTCTGGGGTGCCTGTGCCAACTGGAATCTGCGTCTCGGCTTCTGAACATTTCGGACGTCAAACAGACTTCCGGAGCAGATTCAGTTTGCCGCTTTTTCGGTTTGTTTTCGCGACTGTGCGGAACCCGGTTCAGCTCCGAATGGATGGATGGCATTACTGCGGAAATGGATCAAAGCCCCCCATCCAAACAACGACTATCACCACTGCAGGTCAGGGGGGGAAATCCATTTTTATTTTTCTCATCTACAACTGTCTCCTTTATTTTATAGTACGGTCCATTGATGATTGCTTCCGTTTGATGGATCCACGAGAGTCCCTCAGAGCTGGTATTTCTGGAGCAGCTCGCTTTGCCACGCCCGTTTTTTGTTGGGGAACGAGGCAGGCACTCGGATTCTCCGAAAGTCCTCAATGCATTTGCCCAGCTCCAACTGCAGAGCCTTCCTCTCTTCGCCGGGAGGCGGCGGGCCACGCTCCAGCCCGTTCTCCTCAACGCCCACCTGCTTCGCCTCCTCCAGCTTCTGGAGGGGCTTGGAGAAGTCCAAGGTGGTGGGCCGGGGCGGGCCGCACTCTTCAGGGGCCTCCGGCCACGGCAAGGACCCCCAAGATCCCCTGGTTTCCGGGAGGGGGTCTTGATCCGGAGGAGGGGGCAAAGCCGGATCTGGGTCGGGGGAGAAGTTGGCGGAAGAGAAAGGTCTCTCCTGGGCGGCCTCCTTGGAGCTCTGGGGTAGGTCTGGTGGGGCCGGTTCAGTGGTGGCCCCGGCTGGCAGCACGGGGGATCTTTTGAGGGTGGCGGTGGGGGGGTGCTCCGTGGCAGTTGGCGGGGCGGTTGGTGTGGTGCTGGTGGGGATGGTGGACGCTGGAGGAGAGAAGGAGGAGGAAGAAGCAGGAGAAGGAGGAGGAGAGGAGGAGAAGAAGAGATGAGTAAATAATAACCCACTCCTCCTACTTCTTTGTAACCCCAGCCTCTAGCCTGCCTTCAGTCCCAGCAGGGGAGGGCTTTAGCTTCTTACTGTTCCTTATGCCCAAGACTGGCGCATCTTTATTCTTTGAGGAGGGCATCCCATGGGTCTTAGCCGGAAGCCTTGAACTTCAGATATTCAAACGCACCTGTAACCAGCTTCCCGCCATGTGATTTCCTCCTTTTGAGAATCTTTTGTCCGTCTACTGCGTTTATTTCTCCCAATTTAAACTCTAAAAGGGTGATTTTCTTGAGCATCTCACCTGGAAGCACGGATGCTGCATCTGTCCGGAGGTCCAAAATGGGCTCAGAGGAAGAGGCGAGGCTTTTCCGGACGTCCTTCTCTGTTCCCACCGGTGCTGCAGAAGGCAGCTGAGCCACGCTGAGCCAGAGGCTTCCTGGGAGGGGTATAAATAATAATAAATTACTACTACTACTACTGAGAGAGAGAGGACTAAGACGAGCATCTCCCTCCCCAACTTTATTTCCAAGTTGCTGAAAATACATGTAACCAACAATCATCATATCCAGGCATGTCCAACTTGAAGTTGGCTGCGATCTACAATCCAATATCAAAACTGGCAGGGACCAACCAGGGTAGATTGTTGTTGTTGTTGTTGTTGTTAGGGATAAGGGTTAGAGATAGGGATAGGAGTTAGGGACAGGTATTAGGGATAGCCCCTTCATGGATCACTGCCTTGCCCCCCTTCATGGATCACTGCCTTGCCGTGGCAAAGGGGCTTGAATAACTCAGAGAAGCTATGAACTATGCCAAGGAGGGCACCCAAGATGAATAGGTGATAGTGGAGAGTTTTGACCAAACGTGATCCACCTGGAGGAGGAACTGGCAAGCCACTCCAGTATCCCTGCCAAGAAAACTCCATGGACAAAGACAACAGGCATATAAAAGTTATGACGCTGGAAGATGAGCCCCTCAGGTCAGAAGGTGTCCAAGATTCCACCTAAACATTAGGAAGAACTTCCTGACAGTAAGAGCTGTTCGACAGTGGAATTTGCTGCCAAGGAGTGTGGTGGAGTCTCCTTCTTTGGAGGTCTTTAAGCAGAGGCTTGACAGCCATATGTCAGGAGTGCTCTGATGGTGTTTCCTGCTTGGCAGGGGGTTGGACTCGATGGCCCTTGTGGTCTCTTCCAACTCTATGATTCTATGATTCTATGAACATGCTACTGAGGAAGAGCAAAGGACAAGTACAAGTAGATTCAGAGCTGATGAAGCGGCTGGGCCAAAGCTGAAAGGACGCTCAGTTGCGGATATGCCTGGAAGTGAAAGGAAAGTCCAATGCTGTAAAGAAAAATATTGCATAGGAACCTGGAATGTAAGAACCATGAACCTGGGTAAGTTGGATGTGGTCAAAAATGAGATGGCAAGAATAAATATTGACATCCTGGGCATCAGTGAACTAAAATGGACAGGAATGGGCAAATTCAGTTCGGATGACTATCATTTCTACGACTGTGGGCAAGAAACCTGTAAAAGAAATGGAGTGGCCCTCATAGTAAACAAAAGAGTGGCGAAAGCTGTACTGGGATGCAATCTCAAAAATGAAAGAATGATCTCGATACGAATCCAAGGCAGACCTTTTAACATCACAGTAATCCAAGTTTATGCACCAACTACTGGTGCTGAAGAAACTGAAATTGACCAATTCTATGAAGACTTACAAGACCTTATAGAAGTGACACCAAAGAAGGATGTTCTTCTCATTATAGGGGATTGGAATGCTAAAGTAGGGAATCAAGAGATAAAAGGAACAACTGGCAAGTTTGGCCTTGGAGATCAAAATGAAGCAGGGCAAAGACTAATAGAGTTCTGCCAAGAGAACAAGCTGGTCATCACAAACACTCTTTTCCAACAACACAAGAGACGACTCTACACATGGACATCACCAGATGGGCAGCATCGAAATCAGATTGATTATATTCTCTGCAGCCAAAGATGGAGAAGCTCTATACAGTCAGCAAAAACAAGACCTGGAGCTGACTGTGGCTCAGATCATCAGTTTCTTATAGCAAAATTCAAGCTTAAACTGAAGAAAGTAGGAAAAACCACTGGGCCGGTAAGATACAATCTAAGTCAAATCCCTTATGAATACACAGTGGAAGTGAGGAACAGGTTTAAGGATTTAGATTTGGTGGACAGAGTGCCTGAAGAACTATGGGTGGAGGCTCGCAACATTATACAGGAGGCAGCAACGAAAACCATCCCAATGAAAAAGAAATGCAAGAAAGCAAAGTGGCTGCCCAATGAGGTCTTACAAATAGCGGGGGAGAGAAGGCAAGCAAAATGTGAGGGAGATAGTGAAAGATACAGGAAATTGAATGCAGATTTCCAAAAAATAGCAAGGAGAGACAAGAAGGCCTTCTTAAACGAGCAATGCAAACAAATAGAGGAAGACAACAGAATGGGAAGAACCAGAGATCTGTTCAAGAAAATTGGAGATATGAAAGGAACATTTCGTACAAAGATTACCATAATAAAGGACAAAAGTGGTAAGGACCTAACAGAGGCAGAAGACATCAAGAAGAGGTGGCAAGAATACACAGAGGAATTATACCAGAAAGATATGGATGTCTCGTACACCCCAGGTAGTGTGGTTGCTGACCTTGAGCCAGACATCCTGGAGAGTGAAGTCAAATGGGCCTTAGAAAGCACTGCAAATAACAAGGTCAGTGGAAGTGATGGTATTCCAGCTGAACTATTTAAAATTTTAAAAGATGATGCTGTTAAGGTGCTACATTCAATATGCCAGCAAATTTGGAAAACTCAGCAGTGGCCAGAGGATTGGAGAAGATCAGTCTACATCCCAATCCCAAAGAAGGGCAGTGCCAAAGAATGCTCCAACTACCGCACAATTGCACTCATTTCACACGCTAGCAAGGTTATGCTTAAAATTCTACAAGGAAGGCTCAAGCAGTATGTGGAGCGAGAACTCCCAGAAGTGCAAGCTGGATTTAGAAGAGGCAGAGGAACCAGAGACCAAATTGCAAACATGCACTGGATTATGGAGAAAGCTAGAGAGTTCCAGAAAGACATCTACTTCTGCTTCATTGACTATGCAAAAGCCTTTGACTGTGTCGACCACAGCAAACTATGGCAAGTTCTTAAAGAAATGGGAGTGCCTGATCACCTCATCTGTCTCCTGAGAAATCTCTATGTGGGACAAGAAGCTACAGTTAGGACTGGATATGGAACAACTGATTGGTTCTAAATTGGGAAAGGAGTACGACAAGGCTGTATATTGTCTCCCTGCTTATTTAACTTATATGCAGAATTCATTATGCGAAAGGCTGGGCTGGATGAATCCCTAGCCGGAATTAAGATCGCTGGAAGAAATATCAGCAACCTCAGATATGCAGATGACACAACCTTGATGGCAGAAAGTGAGGAGGAATTAAAGAACCTTTTAATGAGGGTGAAAGAGGAGAGCGCAAAATATGGTCTGAAGTTCAACATCAAAAAAACAAAGATCATGGCCACTGGTCCCATCACCTCCTGGCAAATAGAAGGGGAAGAAATGGAGGCAGTGAGAGATTTTAGTTTCTTGGGCTCCATGATCACTGCAGATGGTGACAGCAGCCACGAAATTAAAAGACGCCTGCTTCTTGGGAGAAGGGCAATGACAGGCCTAGAGAGCACCTTGAGAAGTAGAGACGTCACCTTGCCAACAAAGGTCCGTATAGTTAAAGCCATGGTTTTCCCAGTAGTGATGTATGGAAGTGAGAGCTGGACCATAAAGAAGGCTGATCGCCGAAGAATTGATGCTTTTGAATTATGGTGCTGGAGGAGACTCTTGAGAGTCCCATGGACTGCAAGAAGATCAAACGCATCCATTCTTAAGGAAATCAGACCTGAGTGCTCACTGGAAGGACAGATTGTGAAGCTGAGGCTCCAATACTTTGGCCACCTCATGAGAAGAGAAGACTCCCTGGAAAAGACCCTGATGTTGGGAAAGATGGAGGGTACAAGGAGAAGGGGACGACAGAGGACGAGATGGTTGGATAGTGTTCTTGAGGCTACCAGCATGAGTTTGAGCAGACTGCGGGAGGCAGTGGAAGACAGAACTGCCTGGCATGCTCTGGTCTGTGGGGTCACGAAGAGTCAGACACAACTAAACGACAACAACATTAGGGATAGGGTTGTTATTATTTATTATTATTATTATTATTATTATTATTATTATTATTATTATTATTATTATTATTCTCCAGCAGCTTGTCAGCAGGCCGAAGGAGCTATCCTGATGTGAGTGACTGATTTAAAGATTTAAAATCTCAAGCTGCCGGCGGGGCTGCTAAGAGAGGGGCTTTTTTCCTCTTATAGCTCAGTCCCTTCTCTCAGGCTAATAGGATTATGGGAAGGCAGGAGAAGAAGTGGCCCCGGAGAAGCTGGAATGACCTACTAAAAATACTTGGCGGGTTGAACATGAGACCCAGCTCTACATCTCTTTTAAGCCAGATTTTTCCTTAATTGAAAAGATCACTGTACACATTTAAAACCGCTGGCAGGAATGTGAAGGTGCTTGTTATGTCAAATTTTATTCTATCTTTATATGTGATTTGTATAATTATTTGGAAAATGCGGAGATGCAGTTAATTGTGGGATGTGGTAAGAACTCGTGAAGGAAAGAAGGGAAGAGAGAGAGAGAGAGAAAGGAAGAAAGGAAGAAAGGAAGAAAGGAAGAAAGAAAGAAAGAAAGAAAGAAAGAAAGAAAGACACGGAGAGAGCGACTGAGAGAGAAAGAAAGAAAGAATCTGGCTTGCACTTTTTATAGAGACTTGAGAGAGAGAGAGAGAGAGAAAGAGAAAGTGGAACTCTTCTTACCTGGGAAATGGGGGTGTTCTCCTGACACCTTTTGGGAATCCTGACAAGCCGGAGGACCTGGAGGAAGGAAGAAAGGGAGCAAATGGCAGCTTTAGAGAAGATCAATCTCATAACATAACAATCTCCCATTTCAGTTCCAGCCGGCTGCTATTATTTAAATAAAGGCTGGATAGTGATTTTAGGAATTCCCGTTGCTGTTTTGAAACACACTGGTATCTTCTTCTTCTTCTTGTATTAAATGCTTTATTGGAAATAATAATAATAATAATAATAATAATAATAATAATAATAATAATAATGTAATTTATTATTTCTACCCTGCCCATCTGCCTAGGTTTCCCCAACCCCTCTGGGGAAATTAAAGAAAAGTGTATGAAAACCCCAAACGAAAATACTAAAGAATATCAATATTTGCTCTATCCATTCTTGTTAAATTCCTATGACCTCCTGCCACCTCACCATGTATTTCCTGATCTGATAAACTATTAATCTCTATTTTCTCCCTTTTTAGATTGCTTTTTCAAACTTCAAAAAAGGCAAAAAATCAAAGTTATCGGTCTTAAAAAATAGACAACAAAAATTATCTCTATTTTCTTTTTAATAATCTTTGCCAATGTTCTATTCTCTTATATTTCCACATCCAAACACAGGAGTTGCTCGAACATTGCCGCTGATGTCATCTTACTGCAATAATCCTCTAGTTATTTTCTGAACACGTCCCATTTTTGAATAAATCTCAGTATTACCTGTTTTTGTCATTTTTGCAAACTCCAACGACTTACTTTGCCACTCTCATTTTGTTGGGATTTTCTCTCCCTTCCAATTCGTTGTGATGAATATTCTTGCTGCTTCCGTCGCATACAAGAATATTCCTTTTTGCATTTTTTTGGTATGTCTTGGCCTGGAATCCCCAGGAGAAAATGGAAAACTGAATAAATATTATTATTATTATTATTAAAAAATCAAATTGATGAAAGCCGTGTCAAGCCCACCACGCGCTTTCTTAGCATCCTATACCCTTTTAAAAAATGCTGGCTCTTCTAGGTTTTTTTTATTGGGTTGCTGGTTTCGTTTTGATTTTATGCATTTGGTATTTTATGCAAACCACCCCGAGACCTTCAGGTATCAGGCAGTATGGAAATTAAATAAATAATAATAATAATACTTGTCTATGATTTGTGCTAGAACAAAGCAATGACCTTTAATAATAATAATAATAATAATAATAATAATAATAATAATAACAGGCAAAGTTAACAGAGAAACCAAGAAACTGTCCTGATCAAACCTTTATTAGAAAATGGGACATGTATAAAAAATATCTCATGGATTATTGTAGGTATATGGTGTCTGTGGCAGCCTTTGAAGAACTTCTGTGATCCAAGATCAGATATTATCGTCAAAATTCAACTGAGAGAACAGAAATACATAGTGCGTTAGACAAAGAAATGTTGAGAGACGATAGATGTTAGAACGTGATGTAATGGAACAAATATCCCAATTTTCCTTTTTGTTATGGACAAACCTGGTTTTACTTTTTTATTTTTTTTCCAGATCAGGACAATCTTTTATTTGCATCAGCCACTAGCCATAGCATTAAAGTACTGAAGATAGAAGTTGAAACCTGATGGTACAAAATGCCTTTTGGAGGTTTACATCAACAATCAAATAATAGATCTTATAAAAATTAAATAATAATAATAATAATAATAATAATAATAATACTTGTCTATGAGACGTGCTAGAACAAAGCAATGATCCTAAATAATAAGAATAAGAATAATAGGCAAAGTTAACAGAGAAACCGTGAAACCGCCCTGATAAACCTTTATTAGAAAATGGGACATGTATAAAAAATATCTCATGGAATATTGTAGTGATATGGTGTCTGTGGCGTCCGCCATGTTGCCTCACTAGAAATCCCCGCATGATGTGTCTTGTGCAGTTGAACCAATCACACAAGATTCATTCCCTATTCATAGATCTAGAACACTGACAATAGAAATCCAGGGACATGAAATGAAATCTGGGGATGGATTTGTAAACCTCGAGACTGTCCCTGGGAAATGCCAACATCTGGCCCCGTAAACGGGGGATTAGGCCCCCGAAACAGACTTTGGACATAAGGGGTGTCGGGAAAGGCATACGATATTGAACTTGCGTTACCCCCGTATACCCCTCCCCATTTGCGACGTGCTAGTGATGTCATGATGATGTCTCAACGATGCTATGTGAAGTGTACAGTAGTACTTTGATTTAAGACCGTAATCCATTCCGGAAGTCCGGTCTTAAAACGAAGCGGACTTAAAACAAAGCATGCTTTCCCATAGAAAGTAATTGAAAATGGATTAATCCGTTCCAGACAATGGAAAACACCTGCTAAGACAGCAATTTAACATGAATTTTACTGTCTAACGAGACCATATATCCATAAAATGAAGGCAATAATCAAGGTAAAGGTAAAGGGACCCCTGACCACTATGTCCAGTCGTGGCCGACTCTGGGGTTGCGGCGCTCATCTCGCTTTATTGGCCAAGGGAGCCGGCGTACAGCTTCCGGGTCATGTGGCCAGCATGACTAAGCTGCTTCTGGCGAATCAGAGCAGCGCATGAAAATGCCGTTTACCTTCCCGCTGGAGTGGTACCTATTTATCTACTTGCACTTTGACGTGCTTTCGAACTGCTAGGTTGGCAGGAGCAGGGACCGAGCAACGGGAGCTCACCCTGTCGCGGGGATTCGAATTGCTGACCTTCTGATCGGCAAGTCCTAGGCTCTGTGGTTTAACCCACAGCGCCACTCGTGTCTCTGTAATAATCAAAGTACTGTGCTATAAAGTAAATAAGACAGTAGTGTAGATGAAAAAAATTAACATTTTTTTTCCTTACGTGCACTGATGATAGTCATTGTTTGGATGGGGGGCTTTTATCCATTTCTGCAGCCAGACAATCAACCAGTTCCACACAGTCACAAAAACTAGTCACAAAAACGAAATCACAAGCCACAGTCACAGATCAGTCCCATAAAACGAAGTCACAGTCAAAAAGCTGAAAAAGCCACACAAATCAAAATGCAATAAAATTAGCAAAAACTAAACCTCCAGATATCACCTCTGTGTTGCGTGGGTGCTCGAGACTCAACAGCTGGCAGACTCAACAGGAAGCCTCTGATTAGCAGCGAGGGACTCAATTAACAAACGAAACACACTCAACTGGAACCAGATGATGAAAAGCAACCCCTAAAACAGCAGCCGGGCCCGACTTATATCAAAAAAATGACTCAGCCCGGAGCAGTCATTTCTGGGTTGCAATTGGACTTAGTCCAAAACGGAGTTATAATAGACTGGACTTTAGTCAAGGTACCACTGTATTCTGGGGGGAAGAAGGAAGTTTTAAAAGTTGACATTGCCCCATGCTTGGGGTTCTTACTCCTGGGGGGACCTGTGGCACAACAGTAAGAATCATGGTCTACTGGGACTTCCGGAGGCGGCGCCATTGGCAATGGCGGATTCTCTCTAATTCGGAGGGAATAGCTCCGTGGAAATCGGGTCTTGCCGCTACGGCGAAGCGGGGACCTTTCCGAAAATCACAGGCGGGGGAAGCCTGTGACCGTGGGACTCGGTGGGCACCTATAGCGCCCCCCCCAACTTGCAAGGGAACCCTGTGAGGGGCTCCGGAGCGAAACGGGGCTTTGGCACGGTGCTGAGGGTCGATCGCTACTTCCGTGGAGTGAAGCCGCGCAGCTGTTGCCGGAGAGCGCTGACCTCTTTTCCTGTGACAATTTGGCTATTAAACAACAACCCGTGAGTAGGTCAAGCTTTAAGATTGAAGGCTAAAAGAAAAAGAAGGTTTAATTTGGTACTGAAGCGGGAAGGTGCAAACAGGAAGTCCACCTTCCGTTTTGTATATAGATCAAAGCTAAGACTGGGAGAGGTGCATTAAAAAGATTCAAATCCAAACGTCAAATCAAAAGAACTCCCTCCCTGAATTGAAGGAGAGGGGAGGGAAGAAGGGAAAGTATTTTCTGCATGTAAAAAATAAAAAGGAGAAAGAAAAGAAGGAAAAAAGGGATATAAGACCACCACTCAATCCTTGGAAACGGATTGCCAAGACTAAACAGAACTGTTGTATTGAGAGTCGTACTACTTATGGACAATGTAATTCTCTGACAGCTAACTCTGCAAGTGAGATACTTTGGACTTGAAACTGTTATTTATTTTGCTGAAGGGGGACTTTTGAGAGTTGGGAAGATACTTTATTGCACTACTTGGACTGTTACTGTGTTACCCTAGAGGCTCACTGAAATTGTTACAACTGGTTGGGGAATTTTCCATCTCTAACTAGCCAGGGAAATTTCCACTGCAAAACAAGCCTGACCGTGGGATTGACCTTGACTCTCAGACAAAGTGTTATGGAGGAAAAGACAACAAGATCGGGCAAGGTCAGACTCCAGCAGACCAGTGCAGCAGCGCAGAGCATCTGCATCCGGCCCTCCTGTATCACAAGGGGAAGACCCTGTACAAGCTGGGGCAAAAGGTATGATATCGGAAGAAGGATTCACTTCAGTTTTAAGTAAAATTTACGAAACCTTGGATAAATTAAGCAAACAAGTTACTGAAGCAACAAATAAAATTGACCAAAACACCACAAGTATCAACAATTTGGGGCAGAAGGTGAATTCAAATACAGAATCTATTGAAAAATTGCTGCAAGAATCTACATCAAATCAAAAGACAGTCCAGGAAGCAAAAGAAAAAGCAGTGGCTGTAGAGGAAAAGATAACACCGATATGTAAACAGCTTGGGGCCCACCAGTCACTTTTGTCTATGATCGAACTGAAGGAGAAGCAGACCAATCTGAAGATTAGGGTGGTGCCTGAACTCGAGAAAGACAGCCTAAGTGATTTTCTAACACAGGAATTTGCAGACTTTTGGAAACTGGATGATAAACAAGACTTTAAGATAGTAAGTGCTTTTAGACTTGGAAGAGGAGGGAGAAAGAACAGAGTGAGAGACTGTTTGATTACCCTTCGATCAAAAGAGGAGAGAGATAAAATATTGA